GCTAGGAGCCTACCTTTGTGTGTGGCAATCCATAAAATGGCCTCACTGGGTTGCCTCCAACTAAAAGAAATTCATCAAAGCATATCTTAAAGTACTTATTATGGCATCATCTTGGGCTAGATTGTGAGCCTGCATCAGGAAAGAAGCTGTATGGATTGGAAGGTGTGGGAACTGAAAAACTGACACATGGTAAGAGATGCCATGTACCTAAAGAGAAACTATGCTCTTCCTGTTTACAAGATCTAGCCTGCTTGGTTATACCCTAACCAGCATCATGGAGAGCTTGCTTAGGGTGCACGCAAACCAACTGGGTGATCACAGGGATGGCAACAGAATGGCAGCTGACACAGTAATGTGAATAAGATGCATTGCAACTCTAGTTAAATCTGTAGATATATGAAAATTCAGTTGTTACCTGCAAATTATTTTAGCCTTGTTTTTTTCAAAGACTACTAAAGAAGATGGATACTCAAATACTGCTTATTTTCAATTATATTAGGGGCCTTACTTCCTTAGATTCTTGACAATTCCTCATTAGAGTTGCTTGATATTTCTATTGGAGCAGCACAAGGCTATCAGTTACAGGAAGTCTTCCTGCCTGCCAAGCTGTAACAGGCTCACTGTTGGGTTTTTCTTTGCCATTTCAAAAATAAAGTTACATAAAAACAAAGAATATAAAACAAAGCAATAACATACCCACTAGTAGTGGACAGTGCGAAAAAGCATCCAAAGCAATTTTGTGGTACTCTCTAATTGTTCTTCGCAAATTTGTACTCTTTCAGTAGCCTTCAAGATCTCATATCAAAAGCCCCATAATGAATGTCACTAGCTCAGCTTAAAAGCTGATGAAAACAAAGGTCTTGATTAGAATAAGAATTGTATAAGGGACAGTAAATAACACTTCCAGTTTCTTAACTGCTACCTTTCCACTGCTGCTCTTCAAATTCATTAAGGTGCTATACTGTGTGCAGCAAAAATGTTTCTTGTGACAAAGGAGAGACAAACGCTTTTTACGTTCCTTATTTCAGGACATGCCTGAAGACTCCTCTAACTATTCTGTACTTTCTAGTGCTTTAGCTCATTTCTGATCTGGTGTTTTATTTCAGCACAGGACTCCAGAGCTGGGGGACCCCAGCTGAGTTTTAATGTACCTGTGGAGCAGGCCGATACTGCCACCTTCGGGAGGACTTTCTCCACGTACTCTGAGGACCCTAAGCATGTGTCACATAAATCGGTTTGCTTTTTTTCCTGTCACATCCTCCCAGGAAGACAATTTCTTAAAATCCTCTCCCTGTGCTGTTGTAAGGCCTTCCAGATGTGCCTCAGCTCAGACTGTATTACATTCAGAATAATACTGGAAGCACCTTTTTCTGTGGAGAAGTTTGCCTAAGCCAAGTTTTAGAGATCATTTAAGCAGTACCTCATTTACACTACTCAATTTTACAGCCATCTTGCCAGCATAAAAGCCCTGTTCTGCATCCAGCTGAGCAAGTTGTATTTTGCATACAACACTCCTCTGCTTGTGGGATTCTAGCTTTCTTGGTAGTCTAAATCCTTGTCCATGCGCAGCTTCAATTATCTCCTTGGCAGGCTACTGGCTTAGCTGGATGCAACTGCTAGGACACAGACTGCCTCAGATGTCATGAGAGGCTTTACTGTGTATAGGAACAGTCTGATGAAAAGCACAGAGCTAGACTGTGACAATCTAGCCAAAGTCAAGACTTCTAGGCAAATTAAAGGAAGCATCTGGATTTTATCTCCACAGTATCCATAGTTTTATGAGACTGACCTACCCTTTTGCTTTCCAAGTGAGTCACCCCCCCATCCAGTCACCTTTGAGTTTGCATCCACTAGCAAATGAAGGAACCTTGCTATACACTTTAAGAAATATTAATATACCTTGAGACAAAAGGCTGTGCATGGCATTGAGCCAGAAGCCTTGTCACAGTGGAAATGTTTTCATCAGTAGTTGCCTCAGCTACACCACACAATACAGGAAAAGATTTAATGTCTCACCTCTCAACAGAAGAGGCTGGATCAAGAGCAGGGAGCTGTCTGAAAGTGACTAACTTGCCTACCTGCTCTTAAAAAACAAAGTGACACAATTATTACACAGCCATCTACAGCCAAATAACACAAATGATTAATTCAGTTCATGATGAATTATGTGAATTTGCACAAGGAAGCTGTGAAGGCACCATTAGCTCCTACGTGATGCTGAAGCAATGAAGGTGCTCCTGGCACCACTGGGAGGAAAGAAGCTTCTAGAGGAACTGAAGTCCCAGTCCCTTGCTGCAGCAGTTAGGAACAGCCCTGGTACTGAGGTAAACCAATACTTACAGGCTCCCATATAGAGCTACATTTTGGATGACAATATACCCAGTTAGGCTGAGCTCAGAAAAACACCACTCTCTTTTCCTCCTACTACAGAAAGCCTACATACCAGATTTTTTTTCTCACCATAATGACACATATCTTAATGTCCTGAAGTAAACAAGTGCCTCCACCCACTTGAGATTCAGTCAGAGAGCTGGCTTATGAACAGATAAGAAGAGCTGCCTCCACTCTTCCATTCTATTACTAGAAACCGTTCATTAAAGCACAAATTTGTATTTATTTTTAGACTAAGGCACAGAAATTCAAAGCTGTTATTTTCCCACTTGCAAGAAATTGTCTAAAATTCAAGCGAGACATGCTCTCTGGACAGTGTTTTTATCCCTGGTTTAAATTCTACTATAGCATGGCAAATAATGATACTTGCAAAAGAAATTTATCAAGCTATTGAGCCAACAGTTAATGCACATGACTAGCAGTGGTGCAAGCCTTCCGTTTTCTTTCTGATTCACAAATAATTTCTGTATTTTAGTTCCTTTTTTTTTATTATTTTAATCCGTCTTTGTTAGGCAAACAGCTTTACATCTGCATATGGTTTACACCATGCTTTGAAAATCCTGCAATTATTAATTCATTCCAATAAGAGAAAGTGCATATGCTCTTCACATGCATATATGAACACACATTCAAAAACATGCAACACAAAGTGGTCCCAGTACCTCCATTATTACTCTCACATTAAACTGCTGGTAGAACTGAAGTAGCTTTCAAAAATATCAACTTCATACAATCAACTAAAGTGATTGCAAAAACTATCTGCAGCCAACTTGCAAAAATTCAGCAGTGTCGGTTATTGAACAAACATACGCAATTGAATAAGGGTCCATCAGTAATAGATTAACCAGATTAATGTGTACGTAACAGTCTCAGCGTGGTACATTGCTGCTGTTAGTTTCAAAGTTCACCTATGAACTTCTTTTTATGCTGCACACACGGTCTATGAATGAAGTCTGAATGAAAAAGGAACTGAAGGGAATATAAGGTAAGCGACAAAACGTGAAATTAATCTAAGCATTTAAGCATAGACTGCTGAAAGGGGGAAAAAAAAAACCCAAACAAATCCTTGATCATGATTTATAAAAAGGAATGCACAAATGCATGTCCATGTCATATTAGAATGTAATGCACATAGATGCATGTCCATAAATGCATGTCATGACATATTAGAATGTCATACATAGAATGTAATGCACATCTAGCCTGATGAACAGCCAACGACAACCACTTCATAAGGTGTCTTTTTTAAAAGGTAATCTTACAAAAACAACAAAAAAAAAGTGATCATTGAAAAACAAAAGAAAAACACCACTGTGAAAACCTCACTTCAGTAAGGAAGATCATTGTGTACAGTATTCAATGTTGCCTCTAACAAAATTAGTATGTTAATAGCTGTTGCGTGTTTGGCTTTGCACTGATGTTATATCAAAAGATTGATTTGGGTATGGATTCAATTCAAGAGAGAAAGCCTGAAATGCGCATGCAGGAATCTAAATTAATCACAGGAAATCCCATTCAAAGAGTGAATGAATACCTAAACACAGTACCCTAAAAAAATATAAATTTCTGAAGTTCAGATGTCACTGGTTACTTAAAATCGACTACTTTGCCAATATGATTTTCAATCTGAAACACCTCTGAATTTATTAAATCAGACAGTATTCCTGCTAGATAATTAGTGTGCACCAAAGCCCCTTCAGACACTGAAGTACAAAAATAATGAAAGGGCTTATATATAATCAATAATAGTAACTGGAAATGATACTTGCCCATCTCCCCTCTCCATCCACCAGCCTGTGCCTTTCTTTTCCACTAACTGTTCTTTAAGTCTGAAAGTTTGTACAGTAAACATTTACAAAGGTTCATTTTCACATGGGGTTAGAACGTGCAGCATTTGCTATTTCAGTTGTCCTTTTTTTCATTAAGACACTTCTATTTATCTACATCAGAAAGTCCTTTCAGACTACTGCTTATTTCAGCTTTAGGGGTAATGAAAGATGTATTCTAAGCTGCCCTCTGCTGTGAAAAAGTATTCCTTTAAATGCTGTTTCTCCCTGACTATACTTTTGTTTTTTCCCTAAAATCAAGATTTACCTCCTGAAGCATTGTCACTTACTAACAGCAGCACGTTTGTCACCATTCTCTTCTTCCTTCCCTGGTTTTCCTCCTTTTCATAACCTACCCTCCCTGCATGCTAGTGCTGTTCTCCACACTTGTCCACTCCTCCCATCCCTCCCTTCTACTTTCCCTTCACTTTATCTACTTTACTTGTTGCTAAAACTCTTCTCTTGCCTGGTTCTTTCCCAGCTCTTCATCTTCTGCCAGTGCAGGAACAGGTTGCTCTTGTACCTGTGACACCTTCCATGGGGTCTTGTTATTTCCAATCAGCAGACTGGGAAGGACAGCAAAGATGCATCCTTTGATCAGACAGATGTATGCGCTGTACTGAATATCCACACCATGCACTCCTTTAAAATGTTTCAGGCAGGGAATATGCTTAAAAGAATTTTGAAGTTTTTATTGATTTTTTTTTTTTCTTAAGTTACCTGAAACAGCCTATGTTATTTTCTCTTCTCTTACTGACAGGTTTGTGGATAAAAGCACAGACGATGGCAGATAGCAATGAGATGACCATCAACCTTGTTGTCTTTGGAAGAACTCAGACTGGCAAAAGTGCTGTTGGGAACAGCCTGCTGGGCAGCTCAGACTTTGAGAGCCGTTGCTCCCCCAGCTCTGTGACGACGCGCTGCAGCCTTGGCCGCAGCTGCCGCGTTTTGGGGGTCACACGAAGAAATGGCTGTGAGCTAGCTCTCCGTGTTCAAGTGCTTGACACTCCAAGCTACCCTCACACTGCTCTGACCAAAGAACAGGTGAGCAACATGGTGAGATCAGCACTGGCTCACCATTTTGGGAAGGAAGGCCTGCATCTAGCTCTCTTGGTCCTGAGGGCTGACCTGCCTCTGTGTTCAGATGAAAGCAATCACACAATTCAGCTCATCCAGGTAAGGAATAAATACATAGAAATCCCTGCCCTAAGTGCAACTCTTGTTTTCAGGTGACAATTGCTATGGAAGAGTTTGACAGCAAAACCTAAACAGAGAAGTGCAGATGAAAATTGGAACATTTCTCAGTCAGGAGGTGAAACAGGCCATTCACAGCTCCACACCATACATCACAACTACACTTATCACACCAAGCCTGAGACCTGGGAAAGGAGAGGCAAGAACTGCTCTTTTTTACATGGGCTCAGCACAAAGGAATGCAGGAGTAAAGTTTAGCTACCAAAGTAAGCTTTTCTCTCAGAAGTTACAGCTAATGCTTTATCATGACAAATCTAGCTTGCGAAGAGAAATTCTACTTAAAGTAACCAGAAGTCAGGTTACCTCACTCTCCTGTGCTCTGTACAGGACCAAGGCAGAGAGTGATAGGTCCAAAATCACACAGAGAAATCTGACTGACCTGGGACAAGCATGTTCAGCTCCGTCACTACTGCCGTATCTGTTCACAAGAAAAGAACTAGAAAGTTATCTTAAATTCACTCTTGCTAAGGAAAGGTTCTAGCATAAGTGACTTGAAGCAAATATTTTGAAGCTACTGGGGGAAGTTATTTTTGCAAGTAGGTCAGATATGTATGGAAAGACACTGAAAAGGAATGGTGCTTCCTTTTCGCTTGGAGATTTCTCATTACCACGCATACGTATCTTTGAAGAAGAAAAAAAAGGCAGCAAGTAGATCAGCTTATCTATCTGCTCAGATGAACCAGGTTTGCATGTTTTACAAAGAAACAAAGGGTTTCAGTTACTGCCAAAGTCTGCACATTACAGTTGCATTTAACACTAGTGAGCTTACTGAAAGTCTTTAGAACTGGATGGGATAAAACTGATATTATTTAAATAGATAATCCATATGATAAAAATATAGATATGATCATGCATATAGATAAAAATATAACAATGTATAAATATATAGATATAAAAATAATTTTCAAAATGTGTTTGATTTGCTCTCCTTTCAGATGAACCTCTATTGGTAGGCTACTCCTTACTTTCCTGCTCGTTTGAGACTACCTTCAACACTCTTATTCACTGTCAGTTTACATTTGTTTTCAGCGTTACCTTTTCTCCTTATACAGTTCTCCACCTCTGTACTTCACAGTATTTAAGAGATAGCAATATTTACTCAAAATATTTTTATTTTAAGCCAATGAACAATCATCATCCTTCTAGTTTGAGACTGTTCTGGATCAAGTCCAGACCAGATGTTGTGATTTCATCAGCCACAAACAAGCAGGGCAGTACAGCTGCCTGGGTGCCAGGAATATCATCAGTAATGGCTGTTTTTCAGAGTGTCACTCCAAGACAGCATTAGTGTAAATACTGCCTTTAGCAAAGAGGAGTTTTCACAACAATCCTCTTCAAGTTAGGGATGGCAAATCCATGAAGATGGTGTATCAGAAGAAGATTACTGGCATTTAAATCTCTCTGCATTTTTTAAATGTCAATAACATAGCCTAATGAATTGAGGGAGTGGCAGATATTGCTTTCAGAACTAACATTAGCATCGACTGAGTCCTCAGCACACCAAGCCACTATCCTCCCTCTACAAAACTGATAAACCAACACTTCCCTGGACAGCTTATGCCAAAACTTTGTGCAGGCTTATTCTTTTTTCATCCCTACTATCCAAAATGGATTCATCACTATCAATATCACATGTTTTTCCAACTCCCTCATTCTCCTTGAAGTAGGATATCCTTGAAAGCAGTTTTATACAACTTGGTGTTTAGTTACAGAGTTCAGATCATTGCAAAGTGGACTTTATTACCATAGGCTTGTCATACACAGGAGTTATCACAATTGCACAGAAGTTGTAGTTTCATTTACATTTGTAAATAAAATCCAAATCTTATTCATGTTAAAATTTTCTGTACTCATTGACTACAAAACATCTTGTTTTCTCTCTTCCCCTCTATCAGCTAAGCAACAGCAGTTAAAGACAAACTCTCTGACCCAACTCAGGTTGATGCATCTGATTTTTTCCCCTAAATTGCTGAGAATAGTTGTTTTATGGGATCAGTTGGTGTTACATAGAAATTTATAATTTATTTTTTCAACACAAAGTGATTTTAGGAAAAAAAAAATTCAAAGAGCTGCAAAAAGTGTAGAAACACATACTTTGAAACTACTGATGTAAACTAATGTGTGACATAGCTAAACAACCAGTTTTCCTTACAGACATTTTTTTTATCTGAAGAATTAACTGAAAGTCTATTAACATCTCCAGAGAGAGAACAGAGAACTGCTAGTACTGCATGACCAAATATTTCCACTGAAAGTGGATGTCAGTGTCTTGGCAAAGGTGAAAAAAAAAAACCAGAAATTTCAGCAACTCTGATAGCATGAACTGGATTACTGTCAGGAAAAGAACACATAACTAGCCTGTTAATACAGAAGTATAAGAAGTATAAGTGTGGAAAAGGAACAAGAAAAGATAACTATTTAAGATTTGGTTTTCATTACAGGAACTTCTGGGTCCCACATGGACGGATTTCACTGCAGTTGTTCTTACTCATGCAGACAAGGCAGAAGATGCTGGACTCAGTGAAGATGAGTACTTGCACAGTGCCTCAAGTACCCTGTTGTCACTTTTGAGCTCAGTACAGCACAAATACATTTTCCTTGACAACCAGAAGAGCATAATTAAAGAGGAAAGAGCTACTATCTTAAGAAAGCTCTTGAATTTTATAAGACAAAATAAGTATCAAGTGCTTCTACCTAAGCACAGCAAGGAATAAAAGTGGCTTTCATGTGCTCATTTGTCTGTTTTCTATGGTAGGTAACATTTAATAGAAAGAAGCCATCAACTGGAAAATTCCACATCCACACCTTTGGAGATACAGTTGGCAGTATCTCTTTAGATTACCAAACTACTTGCTATTCCCAGACTACCTCAGATTCGTGCATCCAGAATACTAGATTCAACCACAAGATCAGAACAAGCTAGTGCTCTCTCTCATGCTCCTAATGTGCATGTAATCACAAATCAGATTTTACACTACAGCAGATTGCATATTGCAGTTCATACAGAACATAAATCGGGGGAAGGGGAGTAAAAACTGCACAAGTTCAAACTGTAAGGGAGTCTTTTTGCTCAATTCTTCAAGCTTTCAGAAGTTCCTCTGAATTCAGAAGTTTGTAAAGAGCTTTCCAGTACTAAAAGCCAAGATTTATCTAGTGTAAAAGTATTTCCTTACCTTAATTCAAGATTAGTCAAAACTGAGATTTTGAACTTCAAGAATTTTGTTTAATAAGACATTACGGGAAACGTAGTTTACAAGGCAGATAACAGAGTTCCCATGTGCTTAATGTGATCAGCACATTTAAAAGAACTAATTACTATTGCTTATTCCAAAATACATGAAAAATTAACAGTTTATAGGCACATACAAAACTCATTCAAAACAGCAATCTATTCATCTCTTCTTCTGCATTAGTTCCTTTCGATTTTATATCATTATCATTTTGTTTTCTCTCCGAGTTTACTGGATGATGTTCAAAGCCTGCAAAATTCAGACTGGCTAAGTTATTTCCATGGTGAAAAAAAACCAGTGTTTCATTGGTTAGACAGTAACCAATTAATTAAAAATTATATGTCAAAATATCTGAGGTATCTCTAAATAGCTGCTTAAAAGGTTTATTGTATATTGTTCTAAAATGGTTATTTTCAGATTATTAAAAGGCAGGAATTAAAAGCAGTAATTTAAGGCTATTACCACAGCAACCATGACTACTTCTACTACATTCCTATGGAATAATTCTAATTGTAAAAACTGAAGAAGCTGTTTCTGTTAAAGCATCTTTTGTATAAAGTATCATTGCATAAAAATACATTAAAACAAAAAAAAATATTCATTTTATACCTGCTTGAGCACTGGAAATGGTTGGGGTGTTTTTGTGGTATTTGACTAGATCTTGCAATCTCTTTGCTATTCATTCTTTCTTAGTACTATCTAATTTGGAATTATCTAGGTGAATTAGATGAACTATTTCAGCAAAGTGACAGCTCTGATCTTATTGACACTACGACAGCTTAACTGGGACATGAAAGTACATCCAATTTGTGCATCTTAAGGCATAAAGGGCCATAGTTTAATCTTCCCATTACAACTGTCCGCAGACTACTGGGACAACAGAGCCAAGAACAAAGTTGCAGATGTTTATAATATATATGAAAATTGCTTGGAAGAAGAGAAAAACTGTTAAAAGGTGACTAGAAGAATGAAGATGATTGTGGTCTTCACTGACCAAGTGCTAGTTCTGCATTTGTTGGAAGAGCAGTCAGCACAGAAGGAACATGGCAGAAATTTTTCCCGATTGAGACGCTTGTGTACTCCATAGATCCTCAAAAACTTTTAGCTGTCCAGAAAACACACGTGCCTGTCTGTAGTTCTATCATGAACAAGCCTTGAGCACTGAGTGGCTAATGACTGTTGACAACACTTAACCTCAAGGACAGTAAGTATGCTGAATGAGTGAATTGTGAAAATGTTGGAGGCATAACACATTCTATACTTCTGGAAGAAGAGTCAAACAAAAGAGGTATTAGTCATGCACTTCATAGGGGCAATATATTCTTGGTTTTTATTGTGCTCGCATTACTTTCCATTCCAACATCTGAAAAAGCTTCTAACCACCATTTATTTATTTAATTCCGCTGTTTGCCATGGTCTCTGCCCTGCAGACTCCTTTCCCTTTCACTTCAAATGGAACTCCTTTGTACGTAGCAACACACTGGTCATTGGTATGAAGATCAGGTTGGATTTGCTCCCAAATCTTCTTCTTGGGATTAAGCTCCTTCTCAGGATCTCCTGTTTCAAAAAAAAAAAAAAAAAAAAAAAGAATAATCCAATAGCACACAATCCAGAAGGCAGAGCAAGAACTCTGTGGATTTACACATCATCTCTGCACACACTTTTAAGGAAAAAACACAAACCCAAACAACCCATTACCTGCAGTTCTTAAAATAACAGAATTAGGCACTGTCTAGGAAGCACCTCAAGACCCTTTCTCAAAATGCTCATCTTTAGCAGGAAAAAAGGTTGCAAGTAAAAGGCCAATAAGAAGATGTCAGACTACTGCTAATAGTTGGTTTACAAAATTTACTAGAGACAAAAAAGATTCCTAAGGATCAAGTAGATGTGGACCACAGAAATACACTACTCACCAAGACATGGGTTTGTTGGCATGTTAAATTTAGTAACCAATGAACTTTTATAAGCAATTAACATTAAATGAATTTGGCAGCTGCCTTTAAAGTTGGGAAATACTCAACTTACACAAGAACAGTCCAGAACTAAGATACTGACAATTTTAGCTCCAATTTTCAATACTATTGAACTGCTATTTTTTGCACTATTTGATGACAAGCTCTGGTGCCCAAAATAACAGAAGCATTAGAGGTCAGCATATATTTCAGCAGTTATTGCCTCAGTCTCTGTAAATCTCAGTTTGCTGCTTCTGTGTGTACACCACGACAAGCTACTTAGGTCTTAAAGGTATTGCCAGCCTAACTATATTAGCAAAGCTGACTGTTCAAGGATCTTGAATGACAATAAAATGCAGGTTTCTTCTACTAACGTTTTGAAATACTGTTAACAAATTACATTGTCTAGTGAAGTATTTCAGAGTCATCTTTTTTCAGAGGCATGAAATGCAAAGTATTGGAAAAAAACCCTAAGCTAGATAAGCTCTCTTGCTGTAAAGACATGGAATAAACTGCTGCCTGCTTCTCTGTACAATTATTTTCTGTGCAAAGGTCAAGTAAATTTAATCTCTTAATTCTAACACAATGCAGATTCTCTTAAAGGAAAAATGTTTCATTTAAAAAGTTATTTAATCATAATGCTGTTAGGTGCTCTTGACCTCTTGTGTGTAACAAAAGCAGGACAAACAAAACAGATCGTAAGATTCCTTTTAAAAATACAGCATATTTAAATGCTGAAAGGAAGCCTATGCTCTTTCATTTCTGAAACATTATATATACATGTATTTTTACTTGGAGTGCCATATTGGCACTGTTCTGCCCAAGCTATTAAAATCTTAAGTTCCAGAACAAGTAAGAATCAAAAAACAAATACTAGTAAACTCAACCTCCCTGTGACCTTCTCAGAGAAGCCAGGAGTTACTAAAGGAAAACAAGGAGTTCTCCAAGTGAGTAGAATGTTAGGTACTCTCATCTTCCACTACTCCATGTCCCCAAAAGTTCAGGAAGAAAAACTATAAGGTTACAGGGGGTTTCACATACATGTTTCTAGTAGCTGGTTGACATTTATTACTACTTGGTGTATTCCTGTCAGGCTGATCATCAGGCAGTTAAATGAACTTCTCATTCCAGCCTGCCCTATTGTTTTTCTCCTTTAAATTCTTCATGGTTCAGTCTACACACATTCTCAACACTTGGAAAAGTAAGTTACTTCAGCCTGCAGATGGGAATAACTTCTGTAGTTTCTATACCTGTAACCATGTAAGAGAAGCAGACCAGGCCAAGCTTCTGTTAAATAGACTGCCTTTGCCAAAGCAAGATTCAGTAATGCAGTTGAGTTACTCCACAACCACAGTGCACTTAATATTCAAAAGAAAAAAATCAGTAAAACCATTAATAAACATTTAGAGCTAATTGCACACTTTCACAAAAGTAAAGATCCTGCTTAATGCTCAAGTTCATGAACAAAGAGATTTGGATTTAGACCCAAGTGAATACATACGAAGTAATAAAATCATTAAATAGTATGTTAAATGATCCATCGTGCATTTCCTTCCCCCTCCTCAAATATAAAAAGCAAGTGAATTTTTTCAGTAAGAAAAAATCCTGACTTTCATTATAAAAACATGTCTTGGATGTTAATAAGTTTCTTTGGAATCCTGTGTCAAACTCCCTTGGGATCTGTGGTGAGCTCATATGAGATTAGAATAGGCACTGGTTTTAAATACTACCAGAGCTTTAGGCTATGCATTTTCCATGACTTCTCACTGCATTCTTTTCATCAAAAAAAATATTCTTAGAAGGGTTTCTATAAATTCAGACTTGTAGTGATTTAATGAACCTCCCACTCTCTTTACATAAAAAAAAAAAAAAAATCAAACTCAAAACCACCAGATTTTAACAGGTCACTCAGTCTAGCAATTTAAATATTACAAAAGAAATTCTCACAACAATAAGAAACTTCTCCACTTTGTAACAGCTCAGTAACTACTGAAAAAATATCTCTCAGTGCAAGAAGGGTCAAAAAAGATGTGATGTGGGACCCTAAGAAAAGTTAATACCACTTAGCCCACTGTGGGCTTCCTTAGCAGCTGAAGGAAATTTGATTAAACAAACCTCTCAAATACAGACTAATCACTGCACTCCAGTTTTAGCACTTCTTTTATGTAGAGATGCTTATTAACTAAAGTGCCAGGGATTCTTAGACCATAATGATTATTTAATTATATAACTTAAATAACAGCATTTTGATTCCTATGGCTTTTCTTTTTGGCATTGAAGAGTTTTGTTAATACATCAACTATATTACTATTAGGAAGAAGATTTCACAGTTAGCTGTGAAAACTTCAAGAATTATTGCTGTCTTAAGGCAATTACTATGTAAGAGGGTATAGTACTTACAGACATTAGATGGAATAATTTTTCTGCAGCTTTTAAATCAGACCCTTTCCGTTGACAGAAATTTGATAAATTGTTAATAGAAAGAAGACCCAACAGATCTTGAAGACTCATGGATTAGAGTACAAACCAGTG